GTTAAATTCAACCAGAGCTATGTATTTATAAGTAAAAAAAATATTAAGATTACAATTTTAACCTCCTGTATTTCTCATTTAACTAATCTAACAAGAAAAAGTAAAATATTAACTTAAATAACATCAAGAAATTAAACAATGAAACATAATCACCATGTGTATATACTATTTAGTGAATAATTTTTTATTGATAGAGGTTTGATTTAAATCAAATAAAATTGAAAAAAAACTCTTATTTTCAAATGAACGATCCATAAGGTCTCTAATATCATTTATTGATTGCAATCTTTTTGTTCGTGAAATCCCATCAGAACGCTTTTTACTTTTAACATATTATAAACTATATCGTATCATTCATGTCTTAGGGGTTCATCTGAACCCTCTTCGGCGAAAAATATTATTATACTATATATACATGGTTAAAATTATTTTTTAGATATATATAATAAATGTCAAACCCCCTTCGACTAGTTCGTATGTTTACTCCTTCGAATTTTGAACCCCCTTAGTGAAAATCTTGGCTCCGCCACTGAGTCCGTGCCCAAGAGTACTCGCCGTTTTTTCTTAAATTAATATTCAAGAAGAGTTGGATGTTTGTTGATATTAAATTAGGAGTGGAGGATGAATGATGCAATTTTTTTTGACACATATATTTGGAGTTTAGTGGATAAAAAGAATAAATGAGTCATGACAAGTGTTCATTTTATTTAAATAAATATTGGGCGGTTAATTATTTTTATTAGTACTAACCTAATCTATACTATTGATGATTAGCTATTTGGACGGTGTGCTTTAACAATAGATGAGCTTAATTAAAAGGAAAACTAATAATTGGTCCATGTTATACATCTTAGACATTATTGTGCTACTTTAAAAAAAATATATATATATTACGCTAATGATTTATACATTGATAATGTAATTTTTTAGAACATAATTAATTTACTAATTTTAATTTAGCAAGTGATGCAAATATTCATATAACTATACTGAAAAGAGTCACTCCCTCCGTTCCATTTTATATGATCTAGTTTGATTTGACAGGAACTTTAAGAAAGAAAGAAGGACTTTTGAAATTTTTGGTCTAAACTAAGTTTCATATGTTTGTCTGGAGGTAAATAATTTCATTAAGAGTAAAATAGACATTTTAAAGTGAAATTGTTACTAAATATAGAAATGTGTCACTCTTTTTGGGACATATTAAAAAGACAAATAAATCATATAAAGTGGAACAGAGGGAGTAATACGTTGTATATGTGTGGATTTGCTTACATTGTCTATCTTACTCTCCAATAAAAGAGAAACATTGCCGAGTGTTAATCAAAACAATCTTTCTAATCTCATAAAGATTGGGGTAAGATTGTGTATATCTTATTCTTCCAAGATTATCGGATTATGTTGAATTTATTGTTGTAAATATGTTTCATTGGGTCTAATGAGATAGAACATTGGAATTATCCTTTTCCAAAAGATGTTAATTGCTAATTATACATTAATATGTCTTCTAACTTAGCTTCATCTTACATTAATTTTGGGTGAACTTAAGTAGACAAGTACAAAATTAAACAAGTTGACACATACGTCATACACGACAATTCACGTAGGACACACTCAAATAGATTTATATTGTGCTCTTTAGGACGTTGTTGTCTACTTGTTTAACTTTATACAAATTTAAATATTTATTTGTGAACATCCGACGTTGAAGGATATATTTATCAGCTAAAACCAAATTAAAAAGACATGTTAATGTATTATGCTTATATTTATCAAATAATCATACCATATAATACATTTGTATATGTTCTGAGTTTTTTTTAAAGTGAGTGTTTAGAGTGATGAGATAAATTTGCTTATGATAATTCAAATTCTCATAATTACAACTTACAAGTTTAACTACCACATGTTACAAAATAATATGTTTGTGGGTTTTTGGATTTTATTTTTTGTGCTTTTAGGTGTGTCATCCAGATAAATTTATCTGGCACCTCAGCCAGCAAACAAAATGACAACATTTATACCCCATTATAACTATTAAAATACAAAATAAAATGAATGTCTTTAAGTTTTTTTTTTTCTTTTTTCTTTTCTAATAATTAGCATCATTTGGGACCCCACCCCCTCTTTAATTTTTATTGGATAAGTGTAGAAAATGGTTTTGTGATAAGATTAACAATTCCCTAATTTCATCATATTTTCTTTGGTGGTCCCATTTGAGTTTTCATATTAGTTTTGAGCTCGACTAATTAAAATTTATATCAGAAAGGTTTATTTGAAAGTAAAGTATTTTTTATTAAAAATGACTATATATTTAAGGTTTGAATCCAATTTTTTTGAGTAAAACTGAAGACAGACTGACTTCTCCATTACGATTTTTTTTTATTTTAAAAATAATCTAATCTCATCAATTTTTGAACAAGGATTCGCATATTAAAGGAATATACAACTCTTAAAAGAAGAACATTTTAATAATTAATCTTAAAAATATGAAAAAGAACTATCATATGTAATGGTTTTCATTTTATTAGGAAAGGAAACAAAAAAAACTCGTCTTTATCAGGAAATAAGAAAATATGTCAGCATGGATTGCATATTTTGATTCAGTGATATGACGATCACGATAATAATAATATATTCAGTATAATTACATAGAATGTATCAAATTTTATCTCTTTCTTTTTGTGAGATAAGAAAATTATTTTCAACATATCGTTAATAATTTAAAAAGAAAAAAACATGAAAATAATGGAGACATGACAATAATAAAGAGAATAGTACCTAACCTAGAGAAAATATTGAAGAATAGGAATAATAACATATATAATAATGTAATAATTGAAGCATAAAAATTGCAGTTGATAGTAGAAATTGAAGAAAATAGTGCTAACAGCCTAATACTACTAGTAAAAAAATGGAAACAAATACGACAAACTATCACCAAACCTAATTTTTTAAAAAATGAAATACTTTGCTACTGATCAACCTTTTACCCTAATTCTGAAATAACTAGTTAATTAAATTTAAAATTTTGTCTGGTTTAAATTCCTCTACTATTCTTGATTATTAAATACTGATTAAATTTGTGGCTAAAAAAGATCGTGACGATTGACTATCAATCTTTAAAAAATTAAAGACAAAAATGTTTGGACTAGAAAGCTCTAGAAAAACTAATTTTTCCTTTGAAAATTCTATTTCAGTTTCCAACTTAATGTTTAAAGTCAAAATAATTTTTAAAATATATAAAATCCATCCATTTCAACTCTTTATAAGATCATCATCCAACCTATGAACAAACTCGTTTTACCTCTTAATCAGAGATTTTAAATTTAAATTTTAAGAATAATTTTTTTTTATACCAAAAGTTTTTTTTTATTTAGTGAGACTTACGTGATGCGAAGAATTAATGGAAGCTAAAAGAAAAACTTAATTGGAACGGAAAAAAAAGGGTTGGCGCACTCAGAAAGTTCTATAATTCTTATGGTGAAAATTATCAATTATGTTGTTTAAATTGTGTGAAGTGTTATTATCTTCTCTGAACTTATTTTTTTATTTATTTATCGCATGCACTAATTATCTGTTAAAAAAAACAAGTTAAACAGACATTTTATGTATACACATGTTCAAATCGATTGGACCTCATTTTTTTTCCTTACATATTGATAACACTAGAAAATAATGAATATTAAAAGGGTGAATAAAAGATAAATATATACATCCAAAAATAAATCGATTTTCACAAATTCTATATATTTGTTTCTTTGTTGTAAAACTACAAAGCTTCCAATTTAAATCATATTTTTGTGGCTAAAACACTTTATTTATTTTTGTGTACATAAAACAAAAGTATTGTCCATTACCTTTTCTTACTTTTTTTTTTCCTATTTTTTTTTTATAATATAAAGTTTATATTTATTTTGCAATCCAGCTAGCACTATACCGTTGGTAGACATGATAGGTCCTTTTCCCCACCCTTTTTGGGGTCCAAATTTCATTTGGCTTTATCAAATAAAATTATGTTCGAATCAGTTTATATGCATTTTAATTATTTTATTGAATTTATTATTATTAGTTTTGAATGGCTTTACGACTCTGCCTATTTAAGAATTACACAAATAAGAAGGAAATATCAAATATGTTTTGCTTTTATAGATATTCAAATTTAAAACCTCAGAATTTTCCTTCTACTTCATATATATCATACCCTTTGGTGAATTTTTTTTCTTTATTGAAAAAAATTACACAATTAAATTATTAAAATCAACTATTGAGTATTTTCAAGCAAACGATTACAATAAAAGGAAGTTAATATATTAGTGTTGGTTAATAATAAGAGTAGTGTTGATAAAATAGAATAACAGTTGAAAAAAAAATATTTAAATTATTTTGTGTGGTTTTAAGAACTCATTTTGCTATTTTTATTCATAGTTGTAAAGAAAAAATCAGAGAATTTTGATGGTAATAAATACTCGATCGATATGAGTGATATTTCATTAATTTCCAAATTAGCCCATGAATAACAATAACTCACGTGAAACTAAATCCAAAGAGGAGATTGTTAGTTGCGCGCGAACAAAGTTCAACTTTTCGATCTATGAAAAAAGCCTTTACTTCACGAGTCTAGCACCCTATAATGTACAAATTCAAATTTAATCAAACTTCAATGCAAATAGCATCGAACATTGAAAATGAAAAAACAATCGAATAGAGCCGTTGTGTGACAAAGATGTGTATAGGTTGGCTATGGGACCAATTGCAAGCTCATAAATTCCCCCAATAATTTGCATTTGGGGCCACATTAATTATTATAACTCAAAAATTAAATTTATTTCATTTTTTTAAAAATTAACAAATAAAAAAAACACTCTGTAATCCATTCTTAATCAAACATAAATACCTATCCACTCCCTCTCTCACTCTACACAAAACAAAAAACCATAACAAAAAAACAGAGCATACTCTGTTTTCCTCTGTTTTTTCTACTTTAAAATCTCTTTCTCCTCATGACTAAAGAAGTCGAGGCCGTTCACGAGCAGGCGGCGGAGTATTCCGCAAAGGATTACACTGATCCTCCGCCTGCTCCTCTGATCGATTTCGAGGAATTGACCAAATGGTCTCTATACAGAGCAGCAATAGCGGAGTTTATTGCTACTCTGTTATTTCTTTATATCACTGTTCTTACTGTAATTGGATACAAACATCAAGCCGATGTTAACGCCGGAGGCGATGTCTGCGGTGGCGTTGGTCTTCTTGGTATTGCTTGGGCTTTTGGTGGCATGATTTTCGTTCTTGTTTACTGTACTGCTGGTATTTCTGGTGAGTTTTTTCCGAGTTTTCTCGTTCTGAATATATTATTTATACAATTTTTTAAAGAAAGATATAGCAAATAGAAGGTTTGAGCGAAAAACTATTAAATTTTGTTGAATTCTTTGTTGTTTTGTTGAACATAAAAAGTGATATTAGTAACTTTGTAGTTAATGTTTTATGGTTTAGTTGAATTTAGTATTTTCGATATTAAAATAAGTAGGGTGAAGGGTCAAAATGGCTATAAACTATGAAAAATAAAATAATTATGCCCTTCGTTAAAAAATTGTCTCGTTTCTTACCTTTATCGCCAGTAAAGTGGGTCGATTTTGCTCTTTTCATGAGAAAAATGGAGCTTTGAGGTACAGGGTTCATTTGAATTCAGTACTCTGAACGCAAAACATAAATTCATGTGTAAAAAAAGTCAATTAAAACTACAATGAAAAGGGAAAATTTAGACCATTGATAAAAAAAAAGTCTTCTTTTATTCAAATTCTTTACGATTATTATAACAAGGTAAATTATACTGATAATATATGTGATGATTGTAGGTGGACACATCAACCCTGCTGTGACATTTGGGTTATTTTTGGCAAGGAAAGTGTCATTGATTAGGGCAGTATTGTACATGGTAGCACAATGTTTGGGTGCAATTTGTGGTGTAGGTTTTGTGAAGGCATTCCAAAGTGCATACTACAATAGATATGGTGGTGGTGTTAATGTTATGGCACCAGGACACACCAAGGGTGTTGGTTTGGCTGCTGAAATTATTGGTACTTTTGTTTTGGTCTATGTTGTCTTCTCTGCCACCGACCCCAAAAGAAGCGCCAGAGACTCTCATGTTCCTGTAAGTAAAATCGAATTCAAAATTTATAGATTTATAAATTTCAAATTCTAAACATGTTGTTAATGTTATCTGACATGATACAAAATGAAGTAGCAAAGAGTAAACTCTATTCATGAATTATTATCTTGTATACTCTAGTCTAGTTTAGCTTGTTTAGGGGTATGTAGGATGGGGGTGGGTGGGGTGGGGTGGGGTGTTCTACTATAGGGTTAATTAATTTCCCCACTAGAAAACTATAGTGTGGCTAAAGACGAATCTTATCTTTGATTTTTGAAGCATTTTTGTGTGGTGTTAATTAGTAAGTGACCTACCCACTATTATTCTAATTATTTTCTTGATTTATTAAAGAGGGAGGTGACCTAACTAAAATACTTTAGAAAACATAAAGATAATAAAGTGATTTGATTAGTTTATAATGATGTTAAACTTGTACACCTATTATATCACTAAAGATTATATTCCTAATGTTTCAATGTGATAAATTTAATTAAATATGAATATTTTAGATTAAAATAAAAAATTGATGAGTGATTTAAAATAAACATAGATAGATATTTATATAATAATATATTAGCTCATTAAAGATAAAATAAGAACTTTAAATTATATTCTTAATCAATATTTATTCTGTTAAATTATCTGTTTCTTTTTATATGGTCCTTAAAAGAAATTAGTTATGAATAATTCTTTTGACTATTTTACCCTTTTTATGATAAATAAAGGTCTTGGCCCCACTTCCCATTGGATTCGCCGTATTCATGGTTCACCTTGCCACTATTCCGATCACCGGTACCGGAATCAACCCGGCGAGGAGTTTCGGGGCGGCCGTGATTTTCAACGGCGACAAGGCGTGGGACGAACACTGGATTTTCTGGGTCGGGCCATTCATCGGAGCTTTCATCGCCGCGGTCTACCACCAATACATTCTCCGAGCTGGAGCAATTAAAGCTCTTGGTTCATTCAGAAGCAATGCTTGATAAAAGATGGAACAATTTGATGGATTTGAGAAATTTGTAGATAAAATGTTTGCTATGTCACATCTATCGCGAAATGTTATGTGCATCGAGCTGACATCCTTACGTTCTTTAAAAAGTTTGTTATTCCAAATGGGGAAAAAGGATGGGACTATTCTATCGTTTTGATTTATTTTTTGTTTTGTTTGCTTTGAATGTATTTAAGTTAAATCTATTTGTAATGTTTGGTTTTATCTAGTTGTCCCTTTGTTATCTTTTTTTTTTTTTTTTGTATTTCTTGTTGATTTCATGTACATTATAATAATAGTGTATATGTTGGGTTCAATTTTTTATTTTTTCATTTACTTTGAAAATTATCAATCTTGTCAACGAAAATAGTATTTGAGGTGAGGATTTATCGAAAATTATCTTAATATTTTTCAAATAGAAATAAAAACTGCATATATCACATTTTATGTGAATATGTTGTTGTCAACATAAATATAATTTGGACAGATATACCTCGGAGGCAAATAAACTTTAAACATATGGGGCAGTATATATGCTCTAGTTTTTGGACGGCAGGGACATCAATGTTTCAAAAATATAATGGATGATATCTGCATATCATTTACGATAGTTCGAGAGCATATTTGTCCCTTTTCCCTTTAAATAATATTATAATTTTTTTTTTGCTTATTAACTGAATATGAAAAAATTAAAAAATATTTTTCTTAAAACACACCTTGAAAGCAACATGCTACCTGCACAATGAATCTTTAAAGTGATGCAAATATTGGCAAATTCATTTAACTAGGGTTGTCATTTTCGTCAAGATGATAAGGTTGTGAATCATTTTGTTAATGTATAGGTTATATACGAATTATCATAAAAATAGTATTGTGTAATAATATGAAATTTCTTTTTCCAGATAATAATTTGATAGATGTGTGAGCGTATTAGGAGAGATAAGATTAGAAACGAGAATATATAGGATAAGATGAGAGTGATATCAATGGTGTATATATAGTGTATACAATACGGAAAATAAAGTTGGAAATGGTTCAGATATGTAAAGAGGAGGGACGTCAATCTCCCAGTAAAAAAAGTGTGGAAGGTTGACATTGATAGTGTAAGGATAGGTAAAGATTGATTGGAGAAGAATATGAAGACGTGATTAAACATGAAATGGCATACATTATGCTTATCGAGCACATGACCACTAAATAGGAGAGCATGGAGGTTAAGGATTAGGACATGAAATAGTAGATAGTCAAATTATTTCAAAACAATAGGAGGGATGTGGATTCCCCCCAAAAAAAGTGTGAGAGATTGACAATAATAGATTGCCTATATAAGGACACAGAGATAGATTGAAGAAGATCATAGGAAAAAAAAATAAATAGGACATGACACACCTTAAGCTTATCTACCACATGATGAAATACTAAATAGCAGAGCATAGAGGTTGAGAATTAGGATAGAAAATTAGCAGGTAATCGTGTGAATTCTTTATCTTTTCTAGGAGAGCTTGCTTCTAAATTAGAGCACCTTATTTCTTCATCTTTACTAGGGAAAATGCACAAGTACCCTCCAGCCTATGTCCAAAATCCCTGAGACACGTCTAATCTTTACTAAGGTCCTATTACCCCCGAACTTATTTTTTAATTAATTTTCTACCCCTTTTCGGCCTACGTGGCACTACCTTGAAAAATTATCCACACGCGCGGGGCCCACAAGATAGTGCCACGTAGGCCGAAAAGGGTAGAAAATTATATATAAAATAAGTTGGGGGGTAATAGGGCCTTAGTAAAGGTAGGTATGTCTCAGGAATTTTGGACATAAGCTGGAGGTACTTATGCATTTTTCCTTATTATTTTGATGTCATTATGTTTCTTTCCTTCGATATTCTCATCATAACTTCTTCACTCTTATATTTTCTATACCTATTTTGAATAGCTCAGGAACTCCTATTCATCCTATTTGATTTAGTATGTCATTTTTATTGAGCTGAAAATCTATCAGAAATAATCTCTATGTTCCACAAAAATAGTGCTATAAAATCTGTGTATATCTTACTTTTTAAAACCCCATTTATAAAATTAGATTATTTTATTATCACTCAATATATATTTGTTGTGTTCCTAAACTTATGGCTCGTTTAAAGCATTCTTATCCTTAAACCTATTTACTAAGTAATATAGTATTTTATATATTCATAAAGCTCTATCTTCTGACCATATATTATAATTTATTTATATCAATGTCAAAACTATTTTGGGGGGTGATGCTTCTCGAAAGTGCTATGATTGTTCAGTGCATTTATTTATATATCAATTTTTTATTTAATGATATGTAACGTGTTAGGTGAGTTCTACATATATACTTTTTTTTTTTGGTTAACAACCACCACATACGTACTGAGCGTGAAATGGAGCCTTGCGTAATTAGTAAAGTTAATGTTATACGATTAAGAATATATATTTTAATTGTGTATGCAGAAATGCAGAGTAAGACTTACGTATAATAAATTCTTATGGTATTTTTTTTTAAATTTTTTTTATGCATACATAGTAAAAAGAACTTAGTGCACAACACATCGAATGTAATTTCTTAATTATCTTTACAAAATAAAGGATAAGTCTGTGTAGACGCTACACACCCCATATTCTATTTGTTGGAGTCACTATATATGTCATTGTGTATAATTTCATAAGTAGAATTTAAGAAAAATAAGATGGTATTCTTGTTTTTGTAGGATAGAGAAGTTATTTTTAATATACAACCTTTTAATTTATTGTTTCTGTTTTTTTTTTTGGTATCTCATTAGGTGTTTGATATCCGTATTGAAATTTGATTAATCTAAATTCGTACAACATAGGATTCTATTCAGGAAAAACACTTTCTATTAAAAAAAAATCATACCTAACTCGAATTTAAAATTTTTAATTAAAAAAAAAAATACATTCTTTGATGGTTTGTTTCTAAAATTTTATTCCTAAAGAGATAATGTTCCTCTTTATCATATGGTCAATTTTAAGTGTTGGTGGGTTCCTATCTGTCACCTTCATCAATTGCTCATCTCTTCCTAACTCTTATCTATTCAAATTTTTTTCTTTCTAATGTAACTTAGTTGTGTTTTTAGCTTTTTAGTTAGAGTGAGTTTTGGATTTTGATTATGATGTGCAGGTTTGAAATATGAAATCATGATTATAAAAGTTTTCGATATATATTAGTACATGAGTTTTTCAAAAAATTATCATCGAATTTTATTTGACCTGAAATTTAGAGAATTTATCTCAAGCGTTAAGGACTTCACAATTTTTGAAGTTGTTTTTATTTTTTTGCATTTTGGAATGCTGAAACGCTGAAATCATAATTATTGGATTTTAAGTGTGTATTAGAACATGGTTTTTTGAAAAATTAGTCAGCCGGCCTTTTTTTAAAAAAAAAAATCACCCATTTAATCGTAATAGGTTGTAGCTATCATCACTATATATTTTGTATATATAACAAATGCATAATTGAAGGGACTTGACATTTGGTGTCATATGATCAAAGGTTACATGTTCGAATCGTAGAAATAGTCTCTTGTAGAAATATGAAGTAAGACTATGTATAAACGATTCTTAAAGTTCGATCCCCCCCCCCCCCATACACACACAACAAGATCTTCATGCAACGTACTGCCCTTTAAAGAAATATATATTACTTCCTCTGCCCCTAATTACTTGTCCATTTTTCCTTTTATAGTTGTCCCTAATTACTTGTCCATTTTGACAAATCAAGAAAGGACAGTTTTTTTTTAGTATTATACCCTCAATTAAATGACTAATTACTTTGAAAAATGCAGAACTTTTCATCCACTTCATAATTAATAGAAGTAAAATGGTAAACTCACTATGTCATTAATTGATTTCTTAATATGTGTGTCAATTCAAAAGTGGACAAGTAATTAGGGACAGAGGGAGTATGTGCTAAGAAAGGATGCACATAATACTCTACATGAATTACAAAGAGCTTTATGAGGCATTGCACAAGTTTATACGATTTGTGTGCTTTTATGTTCAATTATAGTGTAGTCCAGAAAGACAAATTCGTGATATATATTAGGCCAAAGTAGATGATATGTGTTATAAGGCATGAATCGTGACGAATATGATTAACAAATGTCTGATGAAAGAAATTTAATCAAGAAAACAAAATGTGAAAGTCCAAAGTTTTAAAATATTATTTCACTATATACTATCTATAGTATCTCTTAATTGATATTGATAAGATATGGGCCAACCAGCTTGTCCTATAGTCCAGCCCAATGTGACCCATTTTGATTAATGGCCCAACTCAGCGCCATACAAAACTATCGTTATTTATGAAAATTTCTCAATTTTTCGAAAACACACTGAGTCTGTATTTTTACTAAGAAAATTTAAAGAGAAAAGACATTAAATCCCCCCCCCCCCCCCCA